GTTCCCGCTCACTGGCTGAGTGAGGGGCGGGCGCGACACTGAGGGTTGTGCTCTGTTGCCGGACACGAAAAAAGACGGAAAAAAAAAAAAAAGAAATGCAAATCCTTGGGCACCATTCTGGACCTGCTGTTCAGAAACGGAAGGTGGGACCCAGCAACCTGTGTTTTAACAGGTCCTTTGGGTTAGTCAGATAAATACTAAAGTTTGAGAACTGGTTCAGGTAATATGTATACAGTAGCTAAAAATCTCAGTTGTTATCATTTGAGGCCTGGTTCTGGTTTACTTCCAGGTGCGCGTTAGGGACTATAGTAATAGTGCTGCTAATAGTTGTGTAGATGGAAAACTGTACCAGGGGAAGTCCCACAAGAGTTGTTTTCATTGTTTCCAGTGGTTAAGATTTTAAGAACTAAGCAGTGAGCCAAGAACCCTTCACCATTGAGTTTAGACTAATTGTCTCAGTACTTAGGATAATTAGCAGAAGCTTCTCCTTTAATATCATTTAGATTGTGCCTCCCTGTATTACTAAGATACTTAAAATGACAAATCATGGATTTAGTCCTTCACATTTAAAACATGTAAGATTATTATTGGAATTAAGGAATTTGTGAATGAGCTCTCTTTTAAATGCTTTGAAGTTGCAAATAATTACAAACAGACATACAGTACCAGAGAGATGTTTTGCTAATATAACTAAAAGAGATATTCTTTAACTATTGGCTTCTTCAATATAGTTATTGACTTTCAGATAATATCTACCTGTCTGGTTATTATTAAAACAGTTTTTAATGGGAAAATGTTATGCTAATATATGTGTGTGTTTTTTAATTGGAAAAATCCTCTACTCCTGAATTTAAATGTTATATACATTTTTAAATTATTTCTTCTGGGTCCTTCAGGGTGGAATATTAACTTTTTTAACATGGCTTTATTTTATAAATGGGAACCCTTGTTATAAAGAACTAGATCTCCTTGTTAAATTAGGGCCTTAAAACATTTGGGCTCTTAAAGCTGCAGCGGACCCAGACATACAGTACCAGAGAGATGTTTTGCTAATATAACTAAAAGAGATATTCTTTAACTATTGGCTTCTTCAATATAGTTATTGACTTTCAGATAATATCTACCTGTCTGGTTATTATTAAAACAGTTTTTAATGGGAAAATGTTATGCTAATATATGTGTGTATTTTTTAATTGGAAAAATCCTCTACTCCTGAATTTAAATGTTATATACATTTTAAAATTATTTCTTCTGGGTCCTTCAGGGTGGAATATTAACTTTTTTAACATGGCTTTATTTTATAAATGGGAACCCTTGTTATAAGGAACTAGATCTCCTTGTTAAATTAGGGCCTTAAAACATTTGGGCTCTTAAAGCTGCAGCGGACCTTTTTTTTTAAGGAAGATAATTACTCTCAAGTATAACTGGTTTGATCACGCTGTCTTCTTGGCCTTATCAATAGATCTTGTCTGCTATAGATTAGAATCGGTGACTAGAGCACTATTAAAGGAAAGCTTACAATGTTCCCTTTACACATTCTGAGAAGTGAAAGATTCCCCAAAGCCAGGGTAAAGCTACCACCTTTTTGGAGATAATAGTATTTATGAATTTTAAGCAAGAAAGGGTATCTAAATATTATTCACCTTCTACGTGTAACTAAGTCATATCGAGAAAGGCCAGTTTCTTATAGTTAGCCAACAGAAATTAAATTAATCTGATCATTAATTATTTTCTAAATTTTTATAACTCCGGAGTGAGGGAGGCAAAGAATATAGTTTAGGGAAGGCCTTTGCCCAATCATATGAGTCTGAAATTTCTAACTAGTTTATAGCAAAAGATGTCATGGAGAATTTAATACTAGGAATTTTGTGTGATTAAGGACCCAGATGAGATTAGTAAATTAAGGAGCAGAAGCAACGTTCTGAAGTTAACCAATCCTTTTTGGTGTAAGATTAGCCACATGCTAATGAATACTCCATATTTACAGTCTCCTTATGCTGGTATTATTTAATTTATTTCCATATATAACTTACTACTTTCTAAGCTAAGAAAAATGCTAATCACTTTTAAGATACGTAAAACAAACCTAAAATTGGCAACAAGCTAACAGAATCTTAGTATATAAAGTATGCAATTCAACTTCTGGTCAAGATGGTGGAATAGACAGCCCCCACCGTCACTCTCTCCCACAAATCAACAAATTTACAACTATAAAAATGTAACATCAGCCAAGCTGTGGCCACTGGAACTCGGGAAGAGGAGGAGAGACCTACGGAGTTCATTAAGACAGGAGAAACCACGATGAGAGAAAGAAAAAACTGCTCTGAGTGTTTCAGGCTGTGGCTGCTTTAAAGCTCTAGCTGCTGAGCGCATGGAGCAAGAGCTGGCAGAGGGCCACAGCTGTGCCCTTCGGATGGAGTTGCTTGGAAGCGGCAGGGGAGAAGAGGGCCTTGGTGGCCCCCAGGACAGCAAGACCACTAATAGGGTTCCTGTGGACCCACACAGGAGCGAGGAGCCAGAACAGCTGAAAAAGAGCCATTCAGAGGCCTGTGAGTCATCACAAGGGACCAGCGCAGGGCCAACCCCATGGGAAGTGTTTGGAGCATGGGTGATGGGGGAGACGGGCCCACTGGGAAAACACTGGGGCACAGCAAGGACAGCCAATCCATCCCCGAATCAGCACAGGACCACGCAGAGGAGACTGGTCGGGAATGCAGAATTGCATGGGGTGCAGTTTGATGATAAAACTCAGACCCAGATCAGAGTTTCTACACAACCCAGGTGCACTGGGTCCCTGGAGAGCCGGAATTACCTATAAGGTCAACTATTAAACCCTGAGCTTCACAAAAAGCCTTCCCTAGGGAAATAGCAGCAAAGCAGCAATTTAGCTCAACCACACAGCTCAAGTACTGGTTCTCCCAGGAAGTTCCCCCGTTTTAGAAGTAAGCAAAGAACAAAAAATTAGTTCCAGCCCAGGCACACAACCACACATTGGGGCCCACCAGGAGACATGAGGCTGGAGCTGGGGACCAGACCACTGCCCACAACTACTCACACCACCAGTGCCTTGGGCCGGCCCAGGAACCTGAAGCATGGAGAAGGGGACCAGATCCCCTCCCCCACAACCAGGTACACCCCCAGCACAGAGGAGCATGCCAAAAACATCACCTCCATGTGGGTGGCCCACCACAGCCACCACAGTAACCATGGCTGCCGCAAAAGCGGCTTGACACTATAACCACCACACAGATGGTCTGCCAGCCACTGGAGTGCATTGACACAAGGACAGTCACCAGCAGAGATAAAGAAAAGAAGAGGACATTTCTCTCCACAAATCCCATTTCAGAGTGACAGAAGAAGCATCTGCTCTAGGATAATATTGGGGGACCGGATCACACCTCTCAGCATCAGACAGAACATCTAGGCAACAAATCAACAGAGTAACCATTATTCTTTCAGAAGAAGAGAAGAAATGTAGGGTAATGGGGGGGGAGAGTGGGGAGAGATTGGACAAGGGGCATAAAGAATAATTATGATTTGTAACAATATATATACTAGTAATATTGATTTGATCAACATATCTCAATATTAAACCCCAAAAATATGTATAATCAATTTTGATTCAATAAAAATATAAATAATAAAGTATGCAATTCTTCATAAAGTAATTTATTTAAGAATAATAGGTGATATGTTCATTATTGACTATTAGCCAAACAGGTCACAATACTGCAAGTCTACAAAACACAGTCTAGGGTATTTTTAAAAAGACTTTAGTCAGAAGCGAAATGACATTTAAAGAGAGAATTTATTTTAAAAAACAGATTTTGCCGACTGGTTAGCTCCGTTGGTTAGAGCATGGTGCTGATAATACCAAGGTCCAGGGTTCGATCTCAGTACTGGCCAGCTGCCCCCCAAGAAGATTTTTTTGAATTTTCAAATTCAATTTCTAACTAAATAATAGGCCTGAAGCTATTGAGGGTAGAGGTGGAGAACCTGATAAATGAAGACTGTAGAAAAGTTCAAAGGCATATTACTCATTTTTCTGCACAGAATAAGAAAATTTTTTTTTTAACTTTTTTTTTTCAGCCTACCCTAATGATTCATGGTCCTTGGTTTTCTTCAAATTAGAAAAGTTAGTTCTCAGTGTAGTCTGACTTTTTTGTGACATTAACGTGGGCCGAAGAAAAATTTCATTTTGTCTTCATAAACTACATGTCAAGGAAATTTTATCTAAGCAAGCCATTTTATTTGTTTTTGATTCCCTAGTTGTCTGAGGGAAGCCGGAAGCACGTAAACCTACAGAAAAGCATTGAGAAAGCTAAAATTGGCCGACATGAGACGGTAAGTTTGTGTCTGTAGATTCTTTAATAATGGTAATTCTAAATAGAACAATAAAGAAACGGAGCTTCCTGTGAGGAGAATGCCATTCCTACCAGAAAAGCAGTGAATCACAGCAAAGGACATGAATGTTTGTTTAACCTGGTAGGATTTACTAATTGTGGATCTAGACATTATTATTATTATTGTTATTATTATATACAGCAGCATAACATAGAAGCATAAACCCTAAAGCAAGACTGCCTGGTTTGAAAGTCTCCTAAATTCTGTGTTCTCAGTTTTCTCAGTTGTAAAATGGAAAATAATAAAATCTACGTCACTGGGATATTATTGTGTGGATTAAACTAGTTAGTATTTACAAAGTGCTTAGAAAAGAACCTGGTACATGGTAAGCCCTAAATAAATGTTTATGTAAGGTTTTGTGTCTTTTTTAATTTTGGTGCAGAACATACCGATTACTATCAACATAATATCCTTCTGGCCTTGTGACATTTTTTAATTAATTAAATGAAATATTGATCTACTTTCATTTTTAAAAATCACTTCATTTTCTAGTTTCATCGATATGTCAAGTATGGGTTTATAACTTTAAAAAAATATAGAAGATCAGCATGAACCACTAAGCATTCCATCTAGGCTTCTATTTGTATTACATGATTGTAAAAGAAAGTGACTCAAAAACTCATCACATTGTAGAAGTGAATACATCACAGGTTTACAGCAGCTTTATGCTTCTGAAGTTATTTCACATATATTCTTTCATGTGAATAGTCAGCACAGTCACAGATAGGAATTGGAGAATGGTGATTTCTGAGGACTATTCAAGGAAAGGTAAGTTCTGGGCATAACCTGAAGCTGTTATATTTCTTCTTAAGTTGATAGCAGCAATTACCACTTCTCTATTTGATCTCTTTTTTTCTTTAACACTGGCAATAACTTGTAAAAGCACCTTCAGCTAATAGTGACATACACTATTATGTTAGCCATAAGAGTGTTACTCAGTTCATTGAGGTTGTCAGGCAGTCTACTGAGTGTTACTCAGTTCATTGGAACCAGCACAACTAGGGGGAAAAAAACCACCAGCAAACCTAGCTGGTGCCTGCAGCTATCAGAAGAGTATAGTAGTTCAGAAAGGCTCCTGAGAAAGTTGAGCTTACCAGACAGGATTTTTCAGAAATACCTGGCTCCTATCTACTTGATGTTATTCATGATGATGATGATGGTGGTGCTATTGCTGATGATGATAAAGAAGAAGAAATAGCTAACATGTATATTCTGCTTACTATGAGGCAAGTACTGTTCTAAATGCATTTTATGTATTCATTGAATCCTACCAACAATCAGGACGTAGCTACTACTCTCTCCATTTTACATTTGAGAAACTGGAGGCACAAAGAGGTTAACTAATTTGGCAAAGATCTCAGTGCTGGTAACTGTCTAAGATGGTTTCAGTTCAGGGTGTCTAGAGAGCTATCATTATATACACAAGGATGTTCACCACTCTGCTTCTCCTGTCTTCATTAGCTTTTTCTCCCCTCATTCTTCCTTTCGAAACATGTATAATTTGAGTGTAGATGGCAAATAATGACTATCTTCCTTTATTCTAGTTATTTTTAAATCTTTCCTGAGCTGTGCTAGTAATACACTAACCATATGTGGCTAACCATATGTGGCTCTTTACATTTAAATTAAAATTAAATACAGTTAAATTCAGTTTCTCAATCATAATAGCCACATTTCATGTAGGCAATAGCCACATGTGTGCTTCTGCATAGAGGATAGTGGCTTCTACAGTGGATAGTGCAGATCTAGAACATTTCTGCCATTACAGAGAGTTGCACTGTGCTGCTTCAGAGCATGCTGCTGTGTATATGCATTCTCTTATACAAATTCTAGCAAAGGAACTTTCTTCACTTTGGAACTAAAGGCAACAGCTAAAGGCAAAAGAAAAAAATACATATGTAAAAATATAAGGTAGCAAGAAACCATAGACAAGTCCCATTTAGGCAGCTTGAACTTTGTTTTACCTCAGATTTATTCTATAATTCTACACTATAATCTTTACCAGTCATAGCTCTATGACTTCTACCTGTTAGTGAGAACTATGGCTAAAAATTTCAAATAGTGTTTATTGGCTCATGTTATATTTAAAAGCTTTGCTCTGGTTTACCTTTAAAGGAAAGTGGTGCGAGGCCTTAACCTACAATTTTGTTATTTCTGATATAGGTTTTGGGCATCCCTAATCTGAAAATTTGAAATCCAAAATGCTCCAAAATTAAATACTTTTGAGCACTGACATGATGCTCATAGGAAATACTCATTGGAGCATTTAGAATTTCAGATTTTTGGATTAGGGACGATCAACTGTTACATACAAGTATTTCTGCAAATACTTCAAAATCTGAAAAAGTACAAAATCCGAAACACTTCTAGGCCCAAGCGTTTTGGATAAGGGATACTCAGAGTGTATCTTTAAGTATTTATAAAGGTTAATCATCCTTACAGGTTGAAAAATTATCTAGAACACTTTTAAGGATAATCGTATAATGATTGATATTACCACAAAATATTACTTACATACATAGACACAATCTTGTGAAACTACCTAAAAAGGAGTATAATTTTTTTCCCTAACACATGATGACATCTTTGACTTCATCCCAGGATAATTGGTAACCTCTCACCTATATATGAGCATTCCATTCTAAATATTAATTTACATTTAATTATTCATTATATATTAAAGATGCTTGAGATTTCAGAGAAAGATGAGAATTAAGCTTGTATACTATGAATGTATGTATGTGTATATATAATAATATCAAAAGCCTAGTGCACACCATGTATTACCTTATAACATATGGATTTTGTTTGTCTTAAAAACTACTATAAAACTACTTTGAATACAGGAAGAGCGAACCATGCTAACAAAAGAGCTTTCTTCACTTCGGGAGCAAAGGGAGCAACTAAAGGCAGAAGTAGAAAAATACAAAGAATGCGACCCAAAAGTTGTAGAAAAAATACGTAAGTTTGTACCACAATTTGAGGGTCTTTAACTTTGGTAACAAAAGAGACATTTTACTTCCAGTTGCCTGGTAACCATTCTTCAAGAATTAAACAGTGACAACTTTGAAATTATAAGTATTGCAAAAGTAAGGAAGGTGGGTGGGGTAGAAGGATAAAGACATAAATTAAAAGCTTATGAGGGGCTGGCCTGTTAGCTCAGTTGGTTCGAGCGTGGTCCTGTTAACACCAAAGTCCAGGGTTTGATCCCTGAACCGACCTGCTGCCAAAAAAAAAAGTCTTAGGAGACTGAAGAGTCATGGAAGAGAGGCTAATTTGGCCCTAGAAAGAAATTCACCAGTATCATCTAGGAAAAAATGATGCCATAAATAAAAGAATTTGCAAGTTGCAGAAAATCAGTCTATGCATTGAATTGCCTTTTGAATATACCAACGATTTTTTTGCCCTACTTTTTTTTTTATTGAAGCATAATTGATTGTACATATCTGTGGGGTACAGTGTTGAATATAAGTACTTGTGCACAATATGTGATGCTCAAATCAGGATAATTAGTATATTCAACATTATACAATTTAATCATTTTTTGTGGCCTTTGCCAATTTCTTGCTAACCTTCCTCCCTCTCCCCCTTTCCCACCTCTTATGGCTTCAATTCTGGTTTGTTTTTGTTGTTGTTTGTTTGTTATGGGTTTTTTTGCCCTGCTCTTAAACCAGAGTTTCCAAAGCTTTATTTTGAATAATTTTTATATATTTATGTAAAGATAGAAATTTGAATATTTGAGGAGATGAAAGAGTGTATTATAAAGACAGCATTTAGTTGCTTAGGAAAATATGTATAACTTACTTCGTATTTTTTTGTCTTAATCTGTCTTTTATTTGGGAACTTTACAAAGTGAAGCTTTTGGAAAAACTGATATGAAAAATATCTGACAAAATAAAAGCTAAATTTTTTCTTATTTGATGAAAACTATAAACCCACAGACCACTGAATTTAGAGATTTTTTTTTTAGACTTTAAGTTCTACTCACACCAAATCCCCTTTTCCCAATTAAATTATTGTTTTTAAAATGTGCTTTTTAATAATCAGAGGTTTCATAGGATTTCAGCTCTCATGTTAGTGCAGAATAGATTATACTGGATTAAAGGATTATGAGTTTCCCAAATTGATTTTAATAGGATTTGGTTCTTAATAGCATGGCTATAGCACCCATATTACTATACTCAGGCTTACCTCTAAGTCTGTCATGTTTTATTTTGGAATACAATTTGCTGATAATAGCCATAACCCTTTGTTCATATAAGCATGGCTTTATATTCTCTATTAATTTCTCAGTAATGCCTGCAAGAAATATTTATATTTCATCGTGACAGTTGGATTATTGATATCATTAAACAAGTATTAGCAAGCTTAATTGCAAATATCCAAACAGTGAGAAGTAAAAGCAATAATTTATTTTAAAAACTAAATTTTAATTTTGTCTACTCTGATCGTTATCTGAGACCAGATAAAACAAATAGTAGAAATTAAATTCCCACAAAAATACTTGAAAGTAAGTAATCTTAGAAGTATTTAAGGAATTTTCTTAGAAATAAATGCCAGGATAACAGCGAAAATCATGAAGTAAGGACCTCTAACAATTTGTCCTTTTACAAAAGCTAACAAAAATTGTTACAGTCAACTTTTTCGGAACTCAGAAATTGACCAAAGGCTTTCAGGAGCCTATTCAAGAAAAATGGCTGAATCTCAGTAAGAATAGTGAGCTTCGTGAAGTTTTAACTTCCCTTATTCTCACTCCCACTCTCTCAGCAGTAATCTTGAAAGATAACACCTCCACCTTCCCATTGTGAAAGGGAGCAAAATACAACTGGAGCTCTTTAAGGGCCTCAATTCTAAAGAATTGTCATTATATACATATCTGATTGTTCCCTGAAAGACACCGGTAGAAAGGATTGTCTTTATTTGACCTGGCTAGGAGTATGCCCAGTGCTAAAATCCTCTCCCTAGGGAGTGTTTGTCTAGACAATTATAGGCAAGAGTTTTTAACTTCACAGCTGTCTTAGGTGATGAATGACAGTTGAGGCAAACAGCAGACTAATGAAAAATCTTAAAAGGAGAAACTGAAGGGGATGTCCATGGGTGCCTTGAAAAGCCACATATTCCTGGAAATTTGGAAGTCTACATGCATGCATAGGGCTGTTCACATTCTCAGTTAAGACCTGAGGAAGTACTAAGCATTTATCTCTTGCTGACTTTGATGTTCTGTGCAAGCAGGACATGAAGACAGAGGCAGAGTTGTAAATTGCCCAGCTGAGTGTTGAAGGCATGTCCCAGTGCACACACAAAGCTCTTAGGCAAGCACTTGGCAGAGTCCTTTGGCAAGACAACCTCTTCCTAAAGAGATTTAGTCCAGGTGTTTAAGGAAGTTTCTGTTCAATCAGTAGCTGATCATTGTTCTAGCCAAGTAGACTTCGGTGGCCACACACAACAGAGAACACAAACATTACAGTATTAGTTCAGAAAAATCACTAAACAAACAAATGGTAGTGACTACAACAAGTAACAAGCCTGGGGAGGGGGAAGAATCAGATTTCCACAGTTGCCACATTATATTATTTTAAATGTCCATTTTTGCAACAAAAAATTTTAAGACCTGCAAAGAAACAGGAAAGTATGGTTCACACACTGTAATAAAACCAATGAATAGAAACTGTTCCTGAGAAAGCCCAAATGTTGGACTTACTAAACAAAGACTTTAAGTCAGCTATTTTAAATATGTTCAATTAGCTAAAGGAAACCATGTCTAAAGAACTAAAGGAAAGTCTAAAAATGATCTTTCACCAAATAGAGAATATCAGTAAAGAGAAGGTGTTAAAAAGGAATCAAATAGATATTTTAGAGTTGAAAACTACAGTAACTGAAATGGAAAATCACTAGAGGGGTCAACAGCAGATTTGAGCAGGCAGAAAAAAGAATCAATAAGCTTGAAGATAGTTCAATTGAAATTTTCTATTCTGAGGAACAAAAAGAAAAAAGAATGAAGAAATGTGGTGCCACCACACACATAATGGAAGTTCCAGAAGGAAAAGAGAGAGAAAGGAGGCAGAAAGAATATCTGAAGAATTAATAGCTGAAATTTTCCCAAATTTGAAGAAAAACATTACACATCCAGAAATTCCCATGAACTCCAGGTAGGACACACCCAAAGAGATCCACACAAAGACACATCATAATCAAATTGTCTAAAGCTAAAGACGAAGAGAACCTTAAAAGCAACAAGAAGCAACTCATCACATATAAGCGATCCTCAATAAGATTAACAGCTTTTTTCCCATTAGAAGCCACAGAGGCCAAAGGCATTGGGATGACTTATTCAAAGTGCTGAAAGAAAAACCTGTCAACCAAGACTTCTAGATCCAGAAACATTTTCCTTCAAAAATGAAGGCCAAAGTAAGATATTCTCGGCTAAACAACAACTAAGAGCTTGTCACTAGCAGACCTGCCTACAAAAAGTACTTAAGGGAATCATTCAGGTTGAAGTGAAAGGACACCCAATCATAACTCAGTTGGCATGAAGAAATAAATCACACTGGTAAAGATTACTACATAAGTAAATATAAAGGACAGTATACCTGTATTTCTGTTTGTATCTCCTTTTGTTCTGTCTAATTTAAAAGACAGTGGCAGAAAGCAATAATAATAAATCTATGTTGATGGTCAGATAATATGTCAAATGTAATTTGTGACAGTGACAATGTGAAATGGGAGATGTGAGAATGGAACTATCTATACAGGAGCTCAGTTGTTGTATACCACTGAAATTAAGTTGGCATTAATATGAACTACATTGTTATAAGTTAACGTGTTAATGGTAATCCCCAGGGCAATCAGTAAAAAAATAACCCAAAAATGTTAGTAAAAGAAACAGGAGGGGAGTTGATGGTATGCATATTAAAAAAATAAAATTAAAAATATCCATTTAAAACAAAAGAAGGTAGTTGTGGAGTAACTGAGGGACAAAAATGGCATAAGACATATAGAAAACAAATAGTGAAATAGTAAATCCTACCTTTTTGGTAATTACACTAAATGAAAATGGATTAAGCTCTTTGACTCTGATGAAAAGGCAGAGATTGGCAGAATAGAATAAAACACATAAGCTAACTCTATTCTGCCTAGAAGAGACTCACATTAGATCCTAAGACAATATGTTGAAAGTCAAAAGGCTAGAAAAAGATATGCCATGCAAACGGTAACCAAAAAGGAGCTGGAGCAGCTAAACTAATTTAAATAGATTTCAAATAGACCAAACAAAATAGACGTTAAGACAAAAATTGTTATTAGAGAAAAAGAATCGTTTAAAATTATAATGATAAAAGGGTCAACCTTTAAGAAAATTTAACAATTGTATTCATATATTCACCTAAAAATAGAGCACCAAAATACACGAAGCAAAAATTGAAAGAACTGAAAGAATAAATCAACAATTCAGCAATAATAGTTGAAAACTGTAGTACTTCACTTTGAATAAAAAGTCAAGCAACAAGACAGAACGTAAACAAGGAAATAGAAGACTTAATACTATAAAACAACTACACCTAACAGACCTCTATAGAACACTCCACCCAACAACAGCAGAATATGCATTCTACAAATTTAAAGGGATTAAAATAATACAAAGTATATCTTCTGATGACAATGAAATCATATTACGGGTAGATGATAGAAGGAAATTTGGGAAATTAACAAATATGTGGAAATTAATCAACACATTCTTAGATAAGGATTGGCCAAAGAAAATCACAAGGGAAATTAATAAATACTATGAGATGAATTAAATGAAAACACACAAAAACTTAGGGGATACAATAAAAACTGTGCTTATTGGGAAATTTTAATGCCTGTGATTTAAAAAAAGAGAAATGTCTCAAATCAATATCCCAGTCTTCCACCTTAAGAAACTAGAAAAAGAAGAGCAAACTAAACCCAAAGCAACAGAAGGA